TGGGAGCAGTGAAGTCGGCGATTGGGGATATGGTAATGACCTTCTCTTGGGTCGTCCTCTCGGCGACTTTCGGATTACAGACGACGGCGATTTCTTCCGCCGCCGGTTTCGATGAGATCAAATGGGCTCCGTTAGCGATCACGACGTTTCTGATTTTCGTCTACGTTTCGATCTTCACCGTTATTGGAGATTTACTCGGTGGTGCTAGCTTTAATCCTACCGGAAACGCCGCTTTCTATGCCGCCGGTATCCCCGGAGATACTCTTTTCTCCTTGGCGATCAGATTACCTGCTCAGGTAAACACAATCTAAAGATCCAAACATTTTTGAATTTGAGTGTAAATTAGTTTACAGATTTAGTCAGTATCTGAATATAATCGTCTATGAATCATTGAATCTCAATGTATATAGTATATGCTTTTATTTTTGAGATTTGTCCCCACTTGTATGCCCCATTGAGATTTGTTGAAGTAGAATTCGACTTTTTTTTTTTGCTTGCTCAATTTCATCATTCTGAAACTGATATTCTGTTGTTCGTATATTCTTAGTTTGATTGTTCTTCGAAAGAAGAAACACAGAGAATCAGATTCTCTTATTACACTTTGTAAGTTTGTTGTTTTTTTCTTGATCTATGTGTTTTCCACTTTGATAAAGCAGGTAAACAAAACCTTATCTTCTTCTTCGATCTTACTTTATTTGTTCTTTAGCTTTTTCTGAAGTGACTTGTATTCTTTTTGGTGAGTTACAATCAAGCAAAATGACTTTATTACCTTTGGCAGTACTAAATATTCTTGATTCTTGATCCTTTTGAAAAAATGTGAGATGATTTTGGTGATTACAGGCAGCTGGTGCTGCAGGAGGTGCATTGGCAATCATGGAGTTGATACCAGAGAAGTACAAGCATACGATTTCAGGGCCTTCGCTTCAGGTTGATGTGCACACTGGAGCTATTGCAGAAACGCTCTTGAGTTTTGGTATTACCTTTGCGGTTATGCTAATTATCCTCAGGGGACCCCGTATGTTACTCGCTAAGACGTTCTTGCTTGCTATTACAACTGTTTCATTGGTTATCGCCGGGTCTAAATACACTGGACCAGCCATGAATCCTGCCATTGTAAGTATACGTAATCCTTCATTTCTTTGCTTGATACATTAAATATACATGTTTACATCATGTCACATGCTCTGTTTTTTCCACATGTTGATATGTCCCCATTTTCTTGCTGTGTTGCATAAAACTTCACAGAAAGATCGATAACCTTTCGATATCCGTCTTGTGTTTGCAAATGCAGGCGTTTGGGTGGGCATACATGTCCAGTTCTCACAACACATGGGACCATTTCTACGTTTATTGGATCAGTTCTTTCGTAGGAGCATTATCTGCTGCATTGGTCTTCCGTTCTATCTTCCCACCACCTCGACCTCAGAAGAAGAGGAAACAAAAGAAAGCTTGAGAGGCTAACCAACAATCAGGAGAAGACCGGACAGATTCTTAACCGGTTTTGAAATGTAGAAAGATTCAGAAAGTTTTTACCATTTCTAAATAAGGAGAGCAAAAAAAACAAAAGTCTCCTTGTCATTGTTTTAGATTCACGTTTCTTTTATGGATTTGAATTCTCCGGTTTGTGCATAAATCACAGACTCTTTCCCGGGGTAGGAACATTTGATTCTATATCAATGTATGGTTTAACTTGGTTCTGTTCGGTTCATGCTCTGATTGGTTCCAAAAACAGAGAAGAGAAATCAGAAGCAAAAAATTATCACAATTCTCTCAAACCGAAGGAATTAATTTATTTATTATATGTGTTTTTTATATTAATTTTGTTAAAAAGTTTTGTCTAAACTTTACACAAATGTATCAAATCAGCTTTTCGTGGGTATTACTATTACCCCAACTCTTCTTCCGCAATCTTTAAATCATAACGTAACGTCATTGTTCTATCGCTCACTCAAATTTCCCGATTCAGATCTGTGACAAAGTCGAAATTCGAAGACTGAGATTTCAAATCCGGTAGCAATCGCACCTGCAATCAATCGCCGATCTGGATCCGTCAAAGGATCCGCCGCAGTCCTTGAAGACGTCGGCGTCATCCGCCACCGGAAACAAGATCCGTTACCGCTCGCCTTCTGCTTCTGAGTTACTGGAGTCAGGACTAGCCACCGGATTGTCCGGTAACCATTCTCCTACCTCCGACTCTCATCAGGGACTTTTGTCAATCGACGGTGGGAAGATGACGGCGAAGCGAGCGATCGGACGGCACGAATCTCTTTCTGATAAGATCCATCGACATCGAGGTCTATTACTCGTGATCTCGATTCCCATTGTGTTGATCACTCTCGTGCTTTTGTTAATGCCGGGAACGTCGACGTCCGTCTCGGTCGTTGAGTACACGTTGAAAAACCGTGATGGAGGTTCGAATTCGAGGGGTCCGAAGAATTACGCTGTGATTTTCGATGCTGGAAGTTCTGGAAGCCGTGTGCATGTTTACTGCTTTGACCAGAATTTGGATCTTGTTCCTTTGGGCAATGAGCTCGAGCTCTTCTTACAGGTATTGCATTTCCCTTGCTCTTCTTCTACTTGATTGTTTAGCATATCAGAATATATGCCTAAGTTTTATTTCCATAATGGTATCTTGCCACAAGCACTAGAATTATCTCTCACTGGCAATGCTAGGTCGATCTTAAGCTGTTTGCGGTATTTAGTTCGTATTCTATTTGGTTATCGATGATACTATTGTCGTAGTTAAGTTTCTGTTACTAGTTTCAGAAACTGCGTTATTACAATTGTTTAGCATATCAGAAATTATGCCAAGTTTTTTCTCCATAATGGCACCTTGTAGTATCTCTGCTTGAGAGATGGTTTGGTTTAGAATCCCTGAGCCTAAGCTCAATAAATGTAATGGGAAACTTTTATCCGCGTTCCGCAAGGTGAGCGATTGGCTTAAAATTCTTCACTCCTGTAATTCCAACAAGAAGCTTGAATGGATGAAATTAGATTCCCTTTGTTCATTGTTTCATTGTACTGCAATGCTTATCATGCATTTTGGTGCATTTTAGCTCGCTGGAGTTTTCTGTCTGAACTTGTATTCGGATATTATTTCAGCTAAAACCGGGTTTGAGTGCATATCCTAATGATCCTCGGCAATCAGCAAACTCTTTGGTATCTCTTCTTGACAGAGCAGAAGCATCTGTTCCCCGTGAGTTGCGTTCAAAGACTCCTGTCAGAGTTGGGGTATGGAAAACAGCTCCTTATACACAAAGACAAGTGAATAATTCATGTGGTTCTTCATTTTTGTGTTAATTATTTTAACTGTTTTGCATTATATCCCTTTTAGGCAACCGCAGGTTTGAGGGCCTTGGGTCACAAAACTTCTGAAAACATTTTGCAAGCGGTAATTTTTGTGCATGTGATTTCTACAAACATTCACCTGCTTTTCCAGCGTTTATACTTCAATATAATTTTTTTTTTTAAGGTGAGGGAGCTCCTGAAAGATAGAAGCAGGCTGAAAACTGAGGCAAATGCAGTTACCGTTCTGGATGGTACTCAGGAAGGTTCTTATCAGTGGGTATGTTGTAGTTTTTTCCATCTATCTATTAGTGTCAGATTTATGTTAATATAGTCCGTGTTGTAATTATGTTATAGTACGGTTTCTGTCTGTATAGATGTCTTTTAAGTCTTTTTATCTTCCATGCTGAGTAGGACTGATCTCACTGAAGATTTTTGTTATTAATCTTAAAACCATATGTAGTAAACTAACAAGTTTCCATTTTCTCTAAATTGTCCCTTCTTAAGGTGACAATCAACTACTTGTTAAGGACTTTGGGAAAGCCGTACTCAGATACAGTTGGAGTGGTTGATCTTGGAGGAGGGTCAGTTCAAATGGCATATGCTATATCAGAGGAAGATGCTGCAACTGCGCCAAAACCAGTAGAAGGCGAGGATTCATATGTCAAGGAAATGTATCTGAAGGGACGGAAGTATTTCCTCTATGTTCATAGGTTGGTCATCTCCTGTCATTGCTTTGTTGTACTTATTAGATCTTTTTTTGTTCTGTTTTACATGCTAGACATACAATTATGTTTATTTATCCTTCAACTTTAACACAATGTATTATTGGCTTCTTAAATGCAGCTACCTACATTATGGGTTGCTGGCTGCCCGGGCTGAGATTTTGAAAGTCTCCGAGGTTTCTAACAACCCCTGCATCGTGAGCGGCTTTGATGGTAAATGAGAGACACTATCATTATATCAAGGAACATTTTCTTTCTAACTATGACTCTCTGATAAAATGTTACGATGCACAATCTTTATCAAAGAGTAACATTTTATCCTATCATATTGCACAATCTTTCTATCTCCATTTTTTTTCAGACAACGAATTAGCAAGTGTTATATCGTTTTTTGCATGTAATCAATTACTTATTCCATTCCTGATCTCTTAATTTTTTAATGTAGAAAGCTAGAATTATGGAACATGTGGGCTATATGTTGTTGCTCTAGTACGTATTAGATTACACTTTCTAATTCCTTTGAACTGAATGATTCATTTCAGGTAGTTACAAGTATGGAGGAAAAGCGTTTAAAGCCACAGCTTCTCCATCTGGTGCAAGTCTAGATGAATGCCGACGAGTAGCTATTAACGCACTCAAAGTCAATGAATCACTGTGTACACACATGAAATGCACATTCGGTGGAGTCTGGAACGGTGGAGGCGGTGGGGGCCAAAAGAATATGTTTGTCGCATCGTTTTTCTTTGATCGAGCCGCAGAGGTAATAGTTATCGCTGTTTAAAGACTTCATTAAGCACTTACATAACACGAAATTGTTCAACCACTAGACTTTGAGCCAATTCAGACAATAACATTTGACTTTGATGACAGGCTGGTTTTGTTGACCCGGCGCAACCTGTGGCTAAAGTTCAACCTCTGGACTTTGAGAAAGCAGCCAACCAAGCTTGTAGCATGAAAATGAATGAAGGGAAATCGAAGTTCCCACATGTGGAGGAAGACAATCTTCCATACTTGTGTTTGGATCTTGTTTACCAATATACTCTCCTCGTTGATGGATTCGGTATGTTACTCTTCTCTGTCCTTTTCGTAACTCACAAACCAAATATTTCAGTTTACATTACGCCTATCAGTGATGATGATAAGTCCGATGATCATGATAATGGTTTAGTATCTATGATGGGGACACGCACATAGGAATTGGAATTTGTTAGAAATTCCATGATCATCATTGGAAATATTTAATTCAGTTTATTTCAATTTGATATTTTTGATTTGCTATTTTTGTTTCCAAACTAAGCACTCCTAAATGAAGCATTGCATTGTTCAATATAAGATGTATTTGAAATTTAATAAATTCATCCATATATTTTTATTGAAATGTGTTTAATCTTAATTTAATTGTATCACACTTAATAAAATAAACAGGATTGAAGCCATCACAGACAATAACGTTAGTGAAGAAGGTGAAATATGGAGACTACGCCGTGGAAGCGGCTTGGCCACTAGGAAGCGCAATTGAAGCCGTATCCTCACCATGAGTTGGGAAGTTTTTGGTATTTGCACAAAAAACCCATATTCTTTTCATTTCTCCCAAAATCTCCCCCAAACCTTTTTTCTACGTTAATTTTTTTTGTTATCATCATCATAATCATTAGTTTCCTTTACCATCGATTTTTGTTACAATAATCATCATCATCTAGAAAACAAGAGTTCCGATTC